GGCTGCCCACAGCCTGCGCTGAGCAAGTGCCAAGCAGCGAAGATGCAGCTTATAACCCACCTGTCCAACTGCGTGGCCTGTGAGTGGGTGCAGGCTCCGGTCGTAGAGCCAGCATGCTGGGGGCCCGACAGCTCGAAGCACACCCTTGGCCGGGCTGCGAGAGGGTGTCCGGGCAGCACCCCATGCTCCTGAGCACTGGTGGGGGCTGAGAACCGGTTCTGAGCAGCCAGCAACTGGCTAGGGCAGCCCCCTGATGTCTGGGGCTTGCTGTGTTCCTTGTTCAGGCCAGCAGAGGCAAGAAGCTGTTTGCCGGCACCTGCCCCTGGTCTTGCAGCGTGCTCAGCCCTAGCTACGGCTTGTCTGGATTTGGTCTGCTGCTGAAACCACCTGCCTTCCTCTCCCCCCGCCCCCCTGTTGGCATTAGGTGTCTTACGTGAACCAGTGCGTGCAGGGGCCAGCCTGCCCGGCTCTGAGCCTTGTTCAGGCCAGCAGAGGCAAGAAGCTGTTTGCCGGCACCTGCCCCTGGTCTTGCAGCGTGCTCAGCCCTAGCTACGGCTTGTCTGGATTTGGTCTGCTGCTGAAACCACCTGCCTTCCTCTCCCCCCGCCCCCCTGTTGGCATTAGGTGTCTTACGTGAACCAGTGCGTGCAGGGGCCAGCCTGCCCGGCTCTGAGCGCTCAATACACAGGCTGGTGGCTTATGTGCCGTGGGAGAGGGGCTGGTGACCCAGAGCAAGGCCCAGAGATTGCACCTGAAACCAAAAGGGGGCCTGGTCCCGTCCCATGGCTTGACCCACTGGCCAGTTCCCTGGGCACCCATCCAAGGCAGGCTGCAGCCATGCTGGCGTTTCCCATCCATTTTGTACAACCCTCCAGGCACTTTGGGGGGGTCTGTGGCTGCTGCTGGAAACAGCACCTGGAGTGCTGGCTCTGTGCTGAACCAATGCAATGGCCACGATGGGCCGGAGCCGGGGCAACAGAGCGCTGAGCCAGAGAGGTTCCACGTCTTGCGCCTGTGAGGGCCGGGCCCGTCCACTGCTGTGCAAGCAGCAAACCCAGCACCGGGCTGTGGCCGAGTGTGCACGCGGGCGCCTGTGGCCGACACATGGCAACTGGCCTGTGCTACAGCCAGGCTGGCAGCTCTGTTCCTGCAGTACGGCTGGGCTTGGGCCCTAGGAGTGAAGGGACTGCCTGGGTCACTGGGGTAAGGCCCGGTCCCAGGCACCGCTCACAGCTTCCCAGACTACCTGCGTCGCGCAGCCTGAGCCCGTGGGAGGGAAAAGCTGCTTGGGGCGGGCGGGGGCTGCCCCTTTCCAAAGGGTTTGGATCGGTTTCGATGCCTAAAGGCGAACACCCTGCCCGAGACGCCACCGCGGTCGTGCCGGCCTTTGCCTCAGGGCGTCCGTGGGGGCTGCAGTGGCTCAATTCCAAGGGTGCCGCTGCATGAGCCATTGCCCCTTTCTGGCCACGCAGCCCACGGCTGGGGGCAGCCCCGTGGGCAGAGGGGAGGCAGGGCTCTGCTGTGGGAGCTGCGTGGCAGCCATGGTCGTCACACAGGCATGGGGTGGCGCATCACTGTAGCAGTGGAAGGTTGTTATCCCGACAGAGCGGAGAAAGTGCCACTGGCCAAGCCGGAGCTGGGGGGCAACGACATGGGAGCAGGCCAGGAGCTGTGGCCCTTCGGGGCCACTCGCACACGGGCTGGCACTAGGCCCTGCAGGGGTGCCCAGAGGCATGGCCTGGCCCTGCGCGGCGCCAAGGGCTCTCCCCTTGTGGTGCTCGGGGCAAGGACCGGGGGGCCGGGCCGCCCCAGCCCTAAGGGCTGAAGTGGACGAACCGCTCCACGGAGCCAGTGGCTCCCCTCGGTAGA